CATGAAAAAATGATAAATTTTGAAATTTTGAAAATTGAAAAATATGAAATTTTGTGGTAATAATTTTCTTGAAAAATTATAAAAAATGTCATATTGTAAGTAACCACGTTTAAACAGAAGAAATATGTAAAATTGGGCAATGAAAATCTTGGAAGCTGGTTTTCTCCAAAACTGTTATCGTTCAGTTCTTGCCACTTCTATTCTCAACGTTTGATACGATAAAAATAGAGTTACAGAGAGTTATTCTTACATTTCGATGGAACAACACGGTGGTTTCTCCATTCGATGCCCGGTTCTCAGCAACTGGAACAATTTTTCTACGGATGGTACGGACGGATAAGGTGTACCACCCAGTGTCATGATCTCCCACAACAGAATCCCGTACGACCATCTGAAACATCGTGATAAAAAATGAACTTTCGATAAAAAAAATTTCTCTTCTTTTCTCCATTCTTATCTACCAATAATTTCTACATACACTATCGCTATAAGCAAATATTTGCTCACCTGTTTCTTCGCAATATTCATCACTTTCCAACACAGAAAGTGAATATCTTAACTTTTTTCTCATAATTCTTACTCAAAAAAGATAATTTCGAAAAAATTTATCATATCTATAAATAAAAGAAAGGAAAAATATTAGATCATCCCATAAGTTCCTGTCGAATTTTATCATTCAGATCAATATTTCCAACGAACCTTTAAGTTTGATAAGAAAAAAAAAATCGTAAACGCCTTCTCATTCCACAATTCTTTTCTTATTTCTCTTTTCGGTAAATTACTACAATATTTTCTTGAATTTTCATTAAAATATTTCCCGCCATTCGACGCGAAGTTATGGAAAGACCTTAACAACTTTACCGACCGATAGCGGTTGAACAACCTACGCACTTCCGACCGCTCACTCGGCCACAGATACATATCGCTGACACCGGCTCTGTTTAGACTCTAGGCTATCACGCGGGAATATTTGCGCTTTTTCTTATACCTATAGAAATGTTAAATCGAACTTTGACCGATTAATAGGTTACCGGTCGGTAATCGTTGGCGGTAAAAAAGCGATTAATAAGCTACCGGTCGGTAAAAGCGTTGGTGGCAAAATGCCGATTAATAGGCTACCGGTCGGTAAAGTGTTGATATTTCTTGCATATGTAACAAGATTTAGCGAAAAGATGAAACACATACACGTCGGACTGAGTGGTGTAGATCCGATGAAACAGAGCCTCTGGCGCCATCCATTTCACCGGAAGTCTACCGTCTGTGGTTTTCCTATAGTAGTCGTGACAGTGTATATCTCTGGCCAGTCCAAAATCAGCGATCTTCAAAACGTATTCATCGCTGACCAGAACATTCCTGGCCGCCAGATCCCTGTGAATGCATCTTCTGCTAGCCAAATATTCCATCCCCCTGGCCACTTGATAGGCGAACGACACCAGGTCCTTCTGCGTCAGCGTTTTCTTCTCTTTCGGCTCTTGCCCGATCGTTGGCTCGTATCCAGATGACGGTCTGTGATCACGCAGAAAGTCACGCAGATTTCCGTGTGGAGCGAATTCCACCACGACGTATAACGGCCCTCCTTGTGTACACGCGCCTAACAAGTTGATTATGTTCACGTGCTTGCCGATCATCTTCATCATCTCCATCTCGGACACCAGATCCATCATTTCTGCGTCGGTGTGACCCTCTGGGGAGAAGAATTCGTCGTCGATTGTTGGCTGAATTTTCGAAGTTTGGAAAAATTGACGATCGATTTTTAGGTGAGCGAGGAGTGAATTGTGGGAGTTACCGATAGTTTTCTGGGTGTGATTGTCTTTTGGAAAAATTCACCGTCGATTTTTAGGTGAACGAAGAGTGAACTTTGGGAGTTGTTAATATTTCTTTCGGTGTGATCGTCTTTTGGAAAAACTGACGATCGAGTTTTAGGTGAAAAGTTATTCTCGGTGAACGAAGAGTGAATTTTCGGAGTTATCGATAGTTTTCTGGGTGCGATCGTCTTTTGGAAAAATTCACGATCGATTTTCGCGTGAAAATTCAAGAGCGACATTGTGGGAATATTGGGTGAGAAGGTAGAGTTTAGGCAAATAAAAAATTCAATTGCGAGACTGATTAATATCCTTTTAGGTGACCGCTTTGCTTATTTCCCGAGGAAGCAAGTCTCCATTTTAGATTCATTTTACAAATTTCTTAAACATTGTACAAAAACTGACAATCGATCGTTAGACGAGAAGTTACGTGAACCGAATGAAAAATAAAATTGTCAGATTAATTAAGAATACATTGTTCCCAATATTTACGAGAGATTCAATTTCTATTTACAAAAGCGGACACCCAGTTACCACCTTGAAAAAGTCTCGGAAGAAAGAAAATAGAAAAGAAGGAGAAAGAATTTATCGAAAAGCAGCGCAACGATCGTTCGCGAAGATCGAGAGTAAGAAAAATGGCGCCTCACCTTTCAGCATCTTTACCGCGACCACGCTGGGAATCCCCGGTTTCCCCGTGTTCGTTTGCGCCCTGACAACTTTTCCAAACGCTCCTTCGCCGAGTGTATTGCCAAGTGTCAAATGTTCCCTCGGCAATTCCCATGCACTGTCCACCGGAAGCTCGTACTCAGAGATACTTCCACCGTTACTGTCCTCCGCCGCGACCGTTGATTTCTGCTTCTCGATCTTAACCACGGGCATCAGCAACGGCTCCTGTACGTTCTGCGCGTTCACCAGGTTCTGTTTCTCGACGATCACTTTTTTCGTCCACTGTGTGACGACCGCTGCACGGGCAGTCTCGATGGCCAGCAGTTTCTTCATCTTCTCGCGTTTCAAGCGATGGAAAATGTATATTACAACCACCACGCCCACGGCGAAGAAGATGAACAGAACGGCGGCGAGAACGTTCACGAGGATCTGCGGCTTCGCTGTCAGCGGTATTCCGTGGTCTTCCAACGCTGATGGGACGATGGAGATAGAAGAAAGGAGAAAAGAGAAGGGACGATTTATAAGTTTCGATATGTAATAAACAACTGTCTGGGTGTATGATACAAAATTGTCGAGTGTTTCGCTGGAGATCTCTCCATCGGTGTAACGGACGTTATCGAGAGACTGGAACCGTCAATTTTCGATCATATAGGATAAATTGTTGCTAGTTGCAGTATACACTCTGCGTGGGATTATCGACTCTCTCGGTCCAGCGCAAACATCTCTATTATTTCGAGCAATAAGCAGAAAGTAGTACTTGCGAACGTTTTACGACTCGCTGGGAAGGTGGTGCCGCGATGTGGCATTGTTGGGTAGACTGTTGTTTCGAATAAGGAATCAAGAGATTGAATTTATTCGGTGTTCGGGGTTACTTGGAAAATTTCAGTTTGTCGGAAATTCTTTGGAATTTTTTGGTATTTATTTGGAATTTCTTTGGATTTTCAAGGGATTTCTTTGAGTTTATCTGAATTTATATCGGATTTAATTGAATTTATTTAGAATTTATTTGAATTTCTTTCAATATACCTGAATTTATTTAGAATTTCTTTCGAATTTATTTAAATTTCTTCGAATTTATTTGAATTTCTTCCGAATTTATTTGAACTTCTTCGAATATACCTGAATTTCTTTCGAATTTATTTGAATTTCTTCGAATATACTTGAATTTATCTAGAATTTATTTGAATTTCTTCCAATACACCTGAATTTCTTCGAATATACTTGAATTTATTTAGAATTTATTTGAATTTCTTCGAATTTCTTCGAATATACTTGATTTTATTTGAATTTCTTCGTATTTCTTCGAATATACTTGAATTTATTTGAATTTCTTCCAATATACGTGAATTTATTTGAATTTCTTCGAATATAATTGAATTTCTTCGAATTTCTTCGAATATACTTGATTTTATTTGAATTTCTTCGTATTTATTTTTGAATTTCTTTTGAATTTATTTGAATTTCTTCGAATATACTTGAATTTATTTGAATTTCTTCAAATATACTTGAATTTATTTAGAATTTATTTGAATTTCTTCGAATATACATGAATTTATTTAGAATTTATTTGAATTTCTTCCAATATACCTGAATTTCTCTGAATTTCTTCGAATGTACTTGAATTTATTTAGAATTTATTTGAATTTCTTCGAAATTCTTCCAATATACCTGAATTTCTTTGAATTTCTTCGAATTTCTTCGAATTTATTTGATTTACTTTAGAATTTCTTTGAATTTTCTTTCGAACTGATCACTACTTATTCCGAATAGACCCGAATTTCTTTAAATCGAACGTCCATTTTCGCTCAACAGGGATAATTGCAATTTGCCCAATGGAAATTAAAGTTCCCCGCATACTTACATTCGACTACGCGAAGATAGGCGCTGCTAAAGGTTTCCCCTAAAGCGTTCTGCGCGATACAGGTGTACCATCCTTCGTCTTTCTCCGTCACGTTGTACAGCTTCAGCACTTCCGGATTTTCCGGTCCTTCAGCCTATCGAACAAATTGAACAGCGTTTCTTTTTTTTTTTTTTTTTTTTTGGTCAAAATTAAATTTCGCATCTGAGAAAAAGGGAAGCGAAGTGAAATCCTTCAATTTTCATCTACTTTCGCAGGACAGCAATTCGTAAGTTCAACGCAAGAAGTTTCTCTACAGAAGATATATTCGATATCGAATTGCGTGAAAAAGTTACAAACGTATTCTTGCGATCGAATTTCGCTTAAAGAAATATTCGAAAAAGGCGCGTGAAAATTAACACGTTGACTGCCAAGCTACTAGATAACTCGTAGTTGGCAGTTTGCTGGCAGAAGTTACATCCTATTCGAAGACGCCCGACCACGAGATAATTCGAAAGCATTTTTTTGTAAAAAAAAAAAAAAAACAATTAAAATTAAAGTCGTAATATAAAAATTAATATGTGTTTGTTTAATTCTATACAATAAATTGAAAAAAAAAAATGTTGGCGTCTAGAACAGATTTCTTCAAAATAGGCTTGGCAGTCAACGTGTTAAGGAGGAATAATGAAAAAATTTCTCGTTAAACAGACGTGATTACAAATGTACCGTATTACAATTTTATTAACTTGAAAATTCAATCGCATTAAAACAGACGTATATTCAACTATCAGAAAATTGCAAATATTTGCACACACCACTGTTACTAAAAAAAGTGAATAAAAATCGAAAAGGAATATTTTTAAAAAATCTCTCGTTAAAGAGACGCGATTACAAACGCATCCATTCCGTCAATCTACTTGCAATTCGATTACGTTAAAACAAGAAAGTACACTCGACTCTGTGTAAATTGCAAATATTTTTCTATCACTGTTGTCCGAAAAACAGCATAAATAGATAAAAATTGAGGAGTGATAAAAGAAAAAAAAAGAAAATCGATCGATAGTGTTTCGCAAGGTGATCGTTAGGGTTGTTTTTACAGTATACGGTTATTCAATTAATAACAGAAGAAGCAAAAGCGTAAAAAGTGACAGATCGTGTTTGTGTGTGTGTGTGTGTGTTGCATGCGTGCAGTTTGAAATAGTTTTCTACGTGCCCACCTTTACCTCCACCCGGAAACTTTGATTGGTTTTGTTGACAGTGTCGAAAGAGGTGTGATAACCGTGATACCATTCAAGATGGCGGTGCGCGTCCGAGAGAACCTTGCAGGTCATAGTAACGTTGCCTCCTATCAGAACGGTCGTGTTTCTTGGCGGCATGGTCAGTATCGGCCGGTGTTTCACGCTCTCTACAGGAAAAATAGACCCAACCACCGTTTTTACCAAGCTCGAGTATCAGAGGACAGGGAGAGAGAGAGAGAGAGAGAGAGAGAGAGAGAGAGAAAGGGAGAGAAATCTGTTGAGACCAAGGGAACCTGTTCGCTGTCGCATATCCGATAAGATAGATGCCACTTTAATAATTCATTACTTCGAAGAGATTCATCTTGAATTACCGGCGATAGATTGCAGAGTATACGATGGATAGTATTCTTAGGATAGTTTTCGTGGTATTCGGAAATTTTCACTATTCTCACATTTTTCTTTTCTTCTTTGTTTATCGTTCTTTGAAAGATTGCGGAGTAGCTGAAAATTTTTATTTCACTTATTTTTTCAGCTTTTATTTATCATTCTCTGCGATTTCGTGGAAGACCATAGAGTAGGAAAGATCTTAGAATACTTTTTGTGGAATTTGAAAATTTTCACTGTACTCATTTTTTCAGTTTTTATCTATAATTCTCTGCAATTGTATAGAAGACCGTAGAGTAGGAAAGATTTTAGAATGCTTTTTGTGGAATTTGAAAATTTTCACTATTCTCATTTTTTCATTTATCGTTCTCTACGATTTTGTGGAAGACCGTAGAGTAGGAAAGATCTTAGAATACTTTTTGTGGAATTTGAAAATTTTCACTATTCTCACTTTTTTCTTTTACTTATTCTCTGCAATTCCTGAAAGATTGCAGAGTATAAAAGATTTTGGAATATTTTCGTGGTATTTGAAAATTTTCATTCTTTATTTATCATTCTCTGCAATTTTATGGAAGATCGCAGAGTACGATAGATCTTAGAATACTTTTCGTCGAATTTGAAAATTTTCACTATTCTCACTTTTTATTTTTTTACTTATTCTCTACATTGTGATATTTGAAAATTTTCATTCTTTATTTATCATTCTCTGCAATTTTATGGAAGATCGCAGAGTACGATAGATCTTAGAATACTTTTCGTGAAATTTGAAAATTTTCACTATTCTCACTTTTTATTTTTTTACTTATTCTCTACATTGTGATATTTGAAAATTTTCATTTTTTATTTATTATCATTCTCTGCAATTTTCTGCAGATCGCAGAGCACGATAGATCTTAGAATACTTTTCGTCGAATTTGAAAATTTTCATTCTTTATTTATCATTCTCTGCAATTTTATGGAAGATCGCAGAATACGATAGATCTTAGAATACTTTTCGTCGAATTTGAAAATTTTCACTGCTCTCGTTTTTTCATTTATCGTTCTCTACGATTTTGTGGAAGACCGTAGAGTAGGAAAGATCTTAGAATACCTTTCGTGGAACTTGAAAATTTTCACTATACTCATTTTTTCAGTTTTTATCTATCACTCTCTGCAATCTTGAGAATTTTCTCCATATTGCAGCGCAGCAGATTTCAGAATACTTTTCCTGGAATTTGAAAATTCTCACTGCTCTCGTTTTTTCATTTATCGTTCTCCGCAATTTTCTGAAGATCGCAGAGTACGACAGATCTTAGAATACCTTTCGTCGAATTTGAAAATTTCCAACTGTTCATTTATCATTCCCGTCGATTCTCTTCAAGATCGCAAAACACCAAAGATCTGTTCAAAAATTTTCACCATCCCCCTTTTCCAATTTCCATTCATCATCCTCTGCAATACAAAACTCTACTCCACGTGAAAAACAAAAAGTCCCTCTTTCCACCCTTTTCATTTCATCTCAAAAGATTCTCGATCCTTAAAACTCGTAAATACAGAAAGGCAGATAGAGGCAAAGAAGTAGACAGTGCGAAGGAAAAAGAAAATAAAGAAACGTGACATAGTTAAAGATAATAATTATAACAATCCATATGTAAATTCAGCACCTGAAATTCTATAAATAAAAATCCTCCAATCTCCTTCACCCTCGTTAGTCACTACTATATATATATGTATATATACACATTATTCCACGTAATCGAAGGGTATAAAAGCACTGTGTATCACCCTATTCCTTTCGAAAAACTGAAGACAAAATAAAAAAAAAAAAAGAAGAAAATAGGGAAACTTTCTATAACTTATATATAAAAATAAACCAACAAAGTCCTCCACCACCTAGCAAGCCTGTTGCTGTACCTGAAGAAGAATTCCGTTTGGCGAATTCTCCTGGTCACCAGGGTAGTCGACTACTTTCAGCCACTGTATAAAAGGTTCGAGATCGGACACGATTGGACACTTGAACGTCACCGTGCTGTTCACCACCGCGGTCACGTTCTTCGGGAAATCCACGTTGATGTACGGTTTATGCGGAAAACGCTCTACAGATTCATGAAAATTCACGACGCTTTAATGTCGCGATTCTTTCTTTCTTTCCTTCCTTCTCTTCGCGCTGTACGTGCTAGCTAGGAAAGTTTCTCTTAGCGGACGTGTTTCCAGTGAAAAATGGCCACCAGCAGGTTGTAACAGGCAAGGACGTTGCGGAATTTATTATTCACCGTGGAAAAGTATCATTTAGTACCGTTGAGGTATCAACGCATACGTTACACGCAACAGTCGACGGTTGCTTTTTACACAACGATCGGATATTTTTTCTTCTCCCTTTTCTTCGGTGGATTCTTTCCACGTTGGAGATTCTACGTTAGAGACTACAAAAGGTGTGTGTGACTAATAAAGTTTCTAGAATAATTCATTTGGGATCGTTCGTTCCGGAATCGGTTGTGGAATAATTGATCTTCGATCGGTTTATTACGGTTTCATTTTTAGAATAATTCTGGCCGGATTATTCGTCGCGGGGAATCGTTTCTGGAATAATTCATTTGGAATTGTTGTTCAGAATGATTTATCTGGCGCCGTTTGTTCTGCGTTTTCAGAATCACTCATTAGGGTGATTCTTTGTGCAATTAGCTTCAGGGGAGTTGTAGGATTTTTTACCGGAGTTAGGTATTAATAATTTTGCTTTTTTTGGGGGGTGTGGGTGGGTAGTACGATCTTTGGATAACTGTTTCATCCGGAGGAAGCGAGGACGAAAAATTTAAGGACAAGTAGATAAGTAGATCGTAATTTTTAGAATGTCTGAAGGAGCATTTCCATGAAAACACAGAACAGGGAATTCAACGTTTTTGTCACTTTGACGAAAAGAAAACTATTCTCCAAACTTTATCGTCGCTGAATGATTTATGTCTAAAAAATTAAGGGTGATCTTGAAAATTTCGAAGAAACTGTACTCTCCGAACCGTATTAAGCGAAGAAGAAATTCCAGTCAATTTAAGGTGATCGCGATAAATAATTCACAAGGTATACAATTTCTCGTGTTTCAACCTGCTGCCCAAATTTTTTACGTACTAAAAGAATCTCTCTCGAAAGACTGTCCTTAAAGCTAATATTCATTCGTCTCGACCACGGTTTGTACTTCACATTTGTCGCTTCAAATTCGAAGCAAGAATTATCGTCATTTCCCTTATCGAATTAAAAGTTCGATTGAAACGAAGGAAAAGAGAAGAAAACGGTACTCACCGACAATTTCAACTTTAGACGTGCGATTGATGCATCCGAGATTGTTGCACACAACGCAAGTGTAGTTTCCACTGTCTTCAGGTACCAGATCCTCTAATCTGAATGTCCATTTCGACATGACAACAGTGCCAAGCATTCTTTTCGGGGTTTCGTTGTTCTTGAACCAGGTGATATTCGGCCTTGGATTGCCAAAACTTGGACATCTTAAGCGCAACATATTGCCAGCTGGTTTCACCACCACGTGCGGCATTTCTACGCTCTTGTTGAAGGATGGTGGTCGTACAGGAGCTGTGTTATTGTGCTCACCAGCTGTTTCATTCTCGTTCTTCTCGTTGTCCAGATCGGCCTCCGCGTTCTCGCTGTCGAGGTGCAACGATCGCGTCTCTGGCAGATCTGCGAGGATTTTTAAACGATATTTCAAGTTTTTTTAGGTTAGGTTAAACGTGTAGTCGTAGTTCTAGAACGATTCGCGTTTCTGACAGGTCTGCAAGGATTTTTAAGTTTGCAATCTTGAAATTTTTGATCTTAGTGGAGCTTATCGTATCTCAAAATCAATTATCTTTGGAGGATTTTAGGTTAGGTTAAGTGTTTAACCCTACTTTCGCAACGGTTGCATCTCTGATAGATCTGCAAGGATTTTTAAGTTTGCAATCTTGAAATTTTTGATCTTAGTGGAGCTTATCGCATCTCAAAATCAATTATCTTTGCAGGATTTTAGGTTAGGTTAAGTGTTTAACCCTTCTTTTATAACGGTCGCGTCTCTGATAGATCTGCAAGGATTTTTAAGTTTGCCATCTTGAAATTTTTGATCTTAGTAAATCTTATCGTACCAATTTTTGATCTTAGTGGAGCTTATCGTATCTCAAAATCAATTATCTTTGGAGGATTTTAGGTTAGGTTAAGTGTTTAACCCTACTTTCACAACGGTCGCGTCTCTGATAGATCTGCAAGGATTTTTAAGTTTGCAATCTTGAAATTTTTGATCTTAGTGGAGCTTATCGTATCTAAAAATCAATTATCTCTGGAGGATTTTAGGTTAGGTTAAGTGTTTAACCCTACTTTCGCAACGGTTGCGTCTCTGATAGATCTGCAAGGATTTTTAAGTTTGCAATCTTAAAATTTTCGATCTTAGTAGATCTTATCATACCTAAAAATCACTTATCTTCGGAAAATTTTAGGTTAGGTTATGAGAATTTTTACGTTTCGACAATCAAAAATATTTATTTTCTGTTTGCATTGTTCCAAAGCCTCAAATTCATTGAAATCTCGTTGATCGACTTTTTAAATTTCAAATTAACCCTTTGACCTACAACAACGTGTCAAACTCGTGGCAGAGATTCTGGTCAAGATCCGACAAAAATAGTTGTATTAGTGAGAAAATCTCATTGTAATCCTAACTTTCGTTTGAATTTGTAAGATCAAGGATTCCTAAATGTAATTAATCTGTAACAGATACGCTTTTGTTACCTAATACAGTACTAAAACATTAAATGGCTGACGCTTATATGCACAGTCAGAAAAGAAATCATACGTTAAGGGGTTAACCTCTGTATAAAAATTTTAAACAACTAAACACATTAAAATTCTTCAATTTCCATTTCTGCGACATTAACTCTGAAATAAAGATCGTTGAAGTTTCAAAGGGTTAAAAGTAACAAGGTCTACTAACTTCTCGTTTCAATTTCCAATTCGTTCGTCTCATCCTCGGCTCTGTGCGCCCCTAAGGCGCTTCCGAGCCTCTCGGTATCGTGTTGGTATCCATCGTTCTGCAACGGCTCGATTTGTATCGTCACGTTTCTCCATTCAAGCGTCTCGTTCGACTTATCCAGACAACTGTACAAACCGGCGTCTTCTGGCTCCACGTACTTGAATCTCAACCATCGTTTCGTTAAACGTATCCTCGGCAATACAGGTCGGAAGATCTCGTCTCCTTTGTACCATGTTGTTTCCGCGTCTCCGTTCGACGAGCATCGTAAGATCAGCTTCTCACCTACCGACACCACAGCCACGTCGGGATGATTTCGATCTGCAACGAAAATTATTGATATCTTTAGAAAAACGATTTTTACAAGATTTTTAGGAGAAAGGAATTAAGGAGAATCGGGTGAAAATTGAAGTACAACGAAGAGTTTCGTTGTTAGGGTAACTTGTTCTTCAAGTATTCGATTCCCTCTTTTCTATTTTTCAAAACTTTATTCGTTTAATTTTGCAGAATCGAATTGTTTATTTTGAATGCACGAAAATTGAAAAATATGGCAATATAAATTTCGAGATCTCAAACGAAGTACGTATATTAACATTGATATAAGGATCTCAAACGAAGTATAATAATGAAGAATTGGTTGAAAATTGATTGTTTCCTTGGAACTGCGAAACAATTTTTTCTGTATTTTGTATAAAAATTGAAAATCTGACGAAGATATGAATTTTGCATACATCCAAAAGCAGATCAAATAAATTTTTCACCTAACATATTTCACATTATCGAAATAAAAATTTCCACGAATCAAAAATCAGCTCTTGGGAATATTCTAATTTAACGAATATCGAAACAGAATAAATCGGCTCATTTGTTACCTTTCTTCCATTCGACGTCGTTAATAAACAAAAGGAAAACTCTCAAAAAATATTTCACTTCTTTCAAAAAAATCCTCAAAAAAACTTGTCCCTCGACGTATTAGAAATCGCGATCTATCGTTCTTTTCGTCCAGCTTCAAATGTACACCGTATCGTTTAACAGCGCACACGTAAAACACGATTCGACGCATGTTTCCTGAACGCCAAGTTCACGAAAGATAAACCGACGAGACGTCGCTGCTTGGCAGGCTTAACCGCGCCTTCTAATTCGATTCTTCCGCGAATCGTGGTTGCAATAAATGCCACGCTAAAATTGCACGAGGGAATCGCGTGCCGCGATACAATATCCCGCGGCGACTCTCGAACTAGATCGTACGCGAAATCATTCGAAAAAAAAAAAAAAGAAAAGAAAAGGATCTCCGCGATCCTTCGTGATACATTCATCCTAACCACTCTTTTTCTCCATCTTTTTCCGAGTAATAACTCTGCCATATTGTTTTTTGCTTCGATCTAAAATTGAAAACGCGAACGATGCACTTCTGGCAAACATAACCTTAAAAACGTTCATTTGTTAATTTCGAAATTGCCGATTTACGGGGTGGAAGTATTTCTTATTTTCAATGTAGAGGAGAACGAATAGGTTTCTTATTTTTTCGCGGCTTTTGCAGAGTTGCTTTTCTCAAATTTTGATTCGCTTAAATTGACAAGAAATTCGTAGTATATTTAACACTTTCGCTGCGGAAGATTTTAGCGCGTAACGCGCGAGGCAAAATCTTTCGTTTCGGTGCTTCGAAATTTTTTAGAAATTTAAAAATTGAAAATTTGGCGTTTCTAAAAAAATTTAGGACAAGAATTGAGGATTAAATTAAAGTGAAAGTGTGCCAAAAGGCGTCAAATCCGCAGCGTGAGAAAATATTTAAACCGACTATAGGCGCCCAAGGGCACAGCGCGGGAAAATATTCGAAACGCCTATAGGCGCCGAGCGCATATTCAAAACTCCAATGTCGACATAAATTGACCAGCGGGATCAAATTTTTAGTAGTGCATCAAATCTACTAAAAAAAGTGAATTACTGTTCTCCAAAATGGATGAGACATTAATTCGCATTAATTCACTACGAACAGTGCCATAAATATAGAAAAGATCTCAAACTTCATGATTTTTTCATTCTTTCTCAATTAAATTATCAAACTTTTAACTACTACCCTGTCGAAGCTCGGTTCGCTTTGCAAGATTAGAGTATTTATGGATCAATTTCTCCCTTGTAATTAGCAATTATCGTAAAGATCGCGGGTAATTACCAGTTGAGTTATTAATACGCTTTCGTTCGATCAATTAACCCTTTGCACTCCGCGGTGAAATTTCATGCTTTTAATACATTCTATAAATGAACAGAGGCTTTTCAGTTCGGAGAATATTGAATGTTGTTAGCCAACTTGGCTTAATAACAGATTGTACTTTGTAGTTTAATTGGACTGGCTTTGTACGCGGCGTAATAGCAGGTTGTTCCGTCTCTTTCCTTTTTTTTTCGAGTGATCTTTGAAAAAACGAAGAAATTTAATCTGCTCCTTTCGGTAATTGCAAGAACTTTACCTTTCGTTATTGAATGATATCAATCTTGTTCGTGATTATTTTCTCGGAGATTATATTTTGTATTACATAATTGATAGGGTAATTGATATTACTGTTTAATATTTATAACTACATCTTGGAAATGATACAGGTAGAAGATTCTCTTTTTTTTTTATCGTAGAACGTTCTTCGCGTTAATAATCAAAATTATAATTGAATACTGGATGTAAAGAAAGTCTGTGTAAGCGGTGTTAATAAAAATTTCGTGAAAATAACTTTTTTCGCGTGAAAATGTTCACGTTTTACTGAAATTAGTGCGAAAATTCGCACAATGCTTGTGTAGAAAAAACCTTAAATGAAGAAGACTATAAAAATGGGTACTTTGTGTCACGTTGTATCTCATAGGAAGACTGTACCTTTAAATTTTATAGCGTCAATTTTAAAATACGCTTCTTCATCTGAGGAAAATAAGAAAAAAAAAATATTTTGGAATATGTTTACTCGATACTAAGTAATTTTACTTTTATTTTACCAACTGTATCCTCTGTTTTAAATGAAAAAGGCAGCAAAAGTGGCTACCTTATGTAGCGCTATATCTTATAGGAAGACTATACCTTGAATTTTATACGAGAAATTCATACGAGAAAACTGAGAAAAAAGCATATTTTAGAATACGTTCACTCGATACCAAGTAGTTTTACTCTTATTTCGCCGACTGTATCCTCTTTGTTAAACGAAAAAAGCCATAAAAATACCTTGAAAAAATTGATCTAATTACACGGAAGCTCCGTAAAATCTACCACTATTTCAGCCATTGAAGAAAAAAGAAGAAAAAAGTCGTTACGACGAAAGATATCTTCCTACAACGATCTTCTCGATCATTCTCAACCTTGAAAATCGACGTTCCAAGCGACAAGAATCTGTGCACTTGGCTCGGTTCGGTCCTCTTTCATTTTGAATCGTGGAAAAGCAGTTTCCACGCGGTCTCCCATTCATGAGAACTCTGGCCTCTGTTTCTGGCCCCCATGGCGCGGCGGTGCGGCCAGGCCATTTGGACGTCGGCCAGCCCCGCGGAATCGCGACACACTGTTTTCCATCTGACGTTCCATCTGGAGGAGAGCTCTGTGTGTTTGTCCTCTCTCTGCTGCTGTCCGTTGTCGTCAACGTCGATTCGCTCCTCTTCCCCGTCGCGTGAAATGCGCCCGACTAAATTTAGAGGTCTGTCGAGGGTGTCTGTGATCCTCCTCGCGCCTCTCGGCCCTCTACGATTCTGTCGTTTCAACCTTTCTCTCGCTCTATCCGAGTTTCGATTATTCCGGTCGATTCAATTATCATTCATGATGATAACAATGATATTTATCATTGATTATGATAATAATAATAATAACATTTATCATTGACAATGAATTCGGGAGCGGTCACCCATCCCAGAAAGTGTCGCGACGAATGCAGCTTGACTTCGATGATCGATTGACTTCGACGCTACTCACACTGCCGACAAGCTCCTCATTGACAATGATGATGATAATGATAATATTTATCATCGATAACGGTAATAATAATATTTATCATTGACAATGATAATAATAATTATTATTACTGATTATTATTATCAACGATAATTTATTATTATAAAGGGGATGAAATTCCATTAGTGTACGAAGAGGATACAATTTTTTTTTATAGTGTTCTTAAGCGCATTTTTAAACCTGCAGCGAAATCGAACGAATCGCAAAATCAGTTTGTTGCGTTGCAAAAGTGATTTTTAGGATCGGAAAAACCAAAATTTGGGTAAAACGATGAAATTTGGATGCAATGTATTTTGCGTGAGCAAAAGTAGAGGTAAAAGGTGCTTCTTTCTTTTTTTTTTTTTTTTTTTTTTTTAAAGAAAAATAGCGTTAATTTGAGGTTAGGTGTAATAATAAGCTGATTTCATTTTTCTTAGTAGGAAATTATTTTCCATTTATTCGATTAATGAAAGTTGGTATTAATTCACTTAGTAATACCAATGACACAAGGTGTAAAATGTTATATTCAATTTTTATGAAAAGTTGTTCGATTCATTATTGAAATGATTCATTAATGAAAATATCGATCTTCTCCATAGACCTGTGTTTCCTCTCAGAATTTCTATTTCAATTACTATGTTCGTTTAATTCTTCCATAAATAAAGAATCAAGAATTAGGTTAAAGCCTAAAACCTAACCTAACCTAACCTATTGCATCGGGAAAATTCTTAACGCTCGTAAGAAAAATCGCGAATTCCTCGCCGAGTTATTCGAAACGTTTTCATAATTAGCGCAACAGACGACACGTCTATTTGTCATCTGATCGTCAGAGACATAGAACGAATTCCATCTCGCCCACCATTTCCTGGACTGCGTGTTCCTCGTGTGCTCGAAAGACCTCGCTTCAATTCCACCATCTTGGCCTTCTTGCACGCACTCGCGATTTTCTTTTGTGTCACACCCCCGTGTACATACGTCCAAACATCCTCGCTTAGCTCGTGTACAAACGACTAATTGTCTCGAGAGCCCTGGGCTCCTCTCTTTTTTTTAGTCGATCGAGTTTATTGTCTTTGCCAGTTCCGTTCTCGCTTCTTTTTTCGGACACGTCGTCACGTGCGTGACCGTGGTGGTTGCGAGAGCTCGTGACGCTTTCGAATTGTTTGAGATGCAGGCAAACAGACAACGACGATTTGTTGATACACGGAGTAGTTGCGTCGTATGTTCCGATCATCGTCCATCGATCGTTTCGATGCGGAATTTCGATAGCGAGAAACTGAACGTGAAATGTGGTATACTTTAAGTTTCGAGAATTTCGAGGAGGAATGAGTTTAGGAGTAAGAAGTTTTCATGAATTTAGGTTAAGAAATTT